ATTTACAATGATATAAAAATACACATAAAGTGACCGCACTTTATTGAAAGGTATTGATAACTAGTGCTAAATAATCCCCCCAAAAAAATATATATAAAGTGCCAAGTGTTGAAAGTGCAAAACAGGTCATGCGTTTGCTGACTAAATCGTGACAAAATCTAATATATGCACAATAAACATAATACACCATAACATTGCACACTCATACTGAAAGTGACAGGTGCTCAGTATGAGGATGAATATTCATTGAAAGTGAAATCCACAATAAAGTGCAAAACAAGTCATGTGTTTGTTGACTATATCGTGCCAAAATCTAATATATGCACAGTATACGTAATACACCATAACATTGCACACTAACTGAAAGTGACAGGTGCTCAGTATGAGGATGAATATTGGTTAAAAGTAAAATCCACAATTAAAGTGCAATAACAAAGTGCTTGACATTTCATGTGCAAACAAACACCACGATGTCAGTGCTTCAATTCTTCACTCCAAACATGATGCGTGTTTAGCATGCCACACGTGTATATCGTAATCCAAAAGTGGCTCAAGTGCCTCCTCACCTTAACCATGCGACCCTAAGGGACACAATGCTTTAGTTATTATTATTATTATACAGTATTTATAAAGCGCCAATAGTTGGCTCAGCGCTGTACATTACAGAGGGGGACAGAACATGTGACAGAACAATACCAATACAATGCAAAACATGAGGGATCGAGGGCCCTGATCCTGGGAGCTTACAATCTAGGAGGGAGGGGATGGTGGTATAGGAGGAGATAGCTGTGGGGGATGGAGTGGTAGGAAGAGTGGAGGAGGTCAGCACGTTAGCAGGGGGTGGGGTAGGCTTCCCTGAAGAGATGGGTTTTCAGGGTGCACCTAAAGGAGAGGAGAGTAGGTGATAATCTGATGGGTTGGGGCAGGGAGTTCCAGAGGATGGGGGACACCCTGGAGAAGTCCTGGAGGCGGGCATGGGAGGAGGAGACCAGGGAACTAGAGAGAAGGAGGTCTTGTGAGGAGCGGAGTGTGCGTGCTGGGCGGTACTTGGATATTAGGTCAGTGATGTAGTTCGGGGCAGTATGGTGGACGGCTTTGTACATCAGTGTTAGGATTTTAAATTTGATCCGTTGCGCAATTGGAAGCCAGTGGAGGGATTGGCAGAGGGGGGTGGAGGACACTGAGTGGAGGCCAGTGAAGGGATTGGCAGAGGGGGGTGGAGGACACTGAGTGGAGGCCAGTGGAGGGATTGGCAGAGGGGGGTGGAGGACACTGAGCGGAGGCCAGTGGAGGGATTGGCAGAGGGGGGGGTGGCGGAGATGGATCGGTTGGAAAGGTGAATGAGTCTGGCAGCCGTATTTCAGGATGGACTGAAGCGGGGGTATAGCCAGCGGCGAGGCAGGCCAGTGAGGAGGGAGTTGCAGTAGTCGAGTCGTGATATGATGAGGGAGTGGATGAGCTGTTTAGTGGTTTCTGGGGTTAAGAACGTGCGGATTTTGGCGATGTTGTGGAGGTGGAGGATAGGTTGGAGTCCAGAATGACACCAAGTACTCTGGCCTGCAGGGTGGGTTTGATGGTGGCGTTGTTGGACATGATGGAGAAGTCAATGGGGGGTGGGGTCCGGGCTGGGGGGAAAGACAAAGAAACTCGGTTTTGGAGAGGTTCAGTTTAAGGAAGTGGAGCGACATCCAGTCTGATATGTCGCTCAGTAGGTGTGTGATTCGGGCGGAGACCGAGGGGGTGAGGTGGGGGGTTGAGAGATAGATTTGTGTGTCGTCGGCATCGAGGTGGTAGTTGAAGCCGTGAGAGTGTATGAGTTGGCCAAGGGAGGAGGTGTAGATGGAGAAGAGAAGGGGCCCGAGGACAGAGCCTTGAGGGACCCCAACAGAGAGGGGGAGTGATTATAACTCCACCAGACTGAGGATCTCTGTAATAATACTCCTGTAGTAGCACTCCATCTCCTCTGCCAGGTCACTTATGCCCTCAGATGGTAATACCCCCGGGATAATCACAAGGCCATAGAGAGGTGAACAAAGAGCCTCCATAGTGAGATGCCGTTTATTCCATATAGATGAAAACAAGCCAAAAGAGAACACTCCCAGTATAGCAGATCTCATCCAGCTGGTCTCCCATGTGCTGTGGGTGTCAGGATCCTGATGAAGCCACGTGACATCGTGGAGTAACGTGTAGAGCGCGGTGACGTACTTCCGGTTATGCGGTGTTTGTTTGCACATGAAATGTCAAGCACTTTGTTATTGCACTTTATTGTGGATTTCACTTTCAATGAATATTCCTCCTCATACTGAGCTCCTGTCACTTTCAGTTAGTGTGCAATGTTATGGTGTATTATGTATATTGTGCATATATTGTATTTTGTCACCATCTAGTCAGCAGACGGATGACCTGTTTTGCACTTTCAACACTTGGCACTTACATATATTTTTGGGGGGATTATTTAGCACTAGTTATATACCTTTCAATACAGTGCGGTCACTTTATATGTATTTTATATCATTGCACCGACTTATTTAGTTTTTCATGTGAAGCTCTTCACCAATATTGTTTTTTTTATGTCATCCATCCTGTGGTACTGGGAATAGGTGGTAGCAGCTGCATATATTTGGGGTTGTGTTTGTTCATACCAGTGGAGCGCAGGGGGATTATTTTTTTATTTGCTATACTAATGTGAACACTGGTATAGTGCTGATCTGATCAAAGATATTGACCCGTTCAGACACTATACTAGCAATGGAGGTTTATTTTGTATGAGAGTCTTCCTGGCAATCGAGGGGTTAAATGTGATGACTGGTGTACTGACGGGCAATCTGACGCCATCTGGGAGGGGCGTGAAAACCACGGGAGCGCCAATCACTTATATATATATGTGATTTTGTGCACCCATGCCGCCCTGTAGCAGTATTTCTGCTATAGGGCGGTCAGGAAGCCGTTACAGAAGCTGTTTATAATACGGCGATGTGTTACTTTAACTGACAATTGTGCGGTCATGCAACGCTGCACTAAAATTAAATTTACATATCTTTTTCTCCACGAATTGCGCTTTCTTTTGGTGGTGGTATTTGATCGACTGTGTATTTTTTTTGCGCTATAAAAAAAGAGTAACAATTTTGAGAAAAAAAAACAATATTTTGGACTTTTTGCTATGAAACATGTCCAGTAAAAAAATGTAAAATCAAATTTCGTCATAAAGTTTGGCCAAAATGTATTCTGCGACATGTCTTTGCTAAAAAAAATCCCAATTTGTGTAAGTTAATTGCTTTACATGAAAGTTATAGTGTTTACAAATGGCGGTATATAGATACTGGATTTTTTTTAAATATATACTAATAATAGTGGAAATCAGTGATTTATGACGGCGATCAGCAACTTATGGCGGACTGCAGGACTGAGGCGACATCCTGACACTGGGGGGGTAACTGACTTGGGGTCACTGACATCCACAGTGACACTAATATAGTGATCTGAGCAAAAAAAAACCACTGACACTACTAATAGCACTGGGGAGGAAGGGGTTAACCTCTGGAGACAAAGAGTTAACTGTGTGAGGGGAGAGTTTTACTAGGGGGCGGGGTCTGTTACTAGGGGGCGGGGTGTGTGTACCTCTCTGTTACACACTATCCCGGAAGGCTGAGCTCAGTGATCCTGGAACAGTGTGCTGAAAGCTGACAGGGAGGAGAGCACCATTGAATACAATGCACCCTTCCTCTCTGGCAATCGCCAGGCTCTGGTGGGTAATCACCGGCCGGGACCCAGTCATTGACATCCGCCACCACGATCGGTGCTGCGGGTACGGCGGTCACACACCTCGCGCTCGCGCTCCCTCCCCCGGAATGCAGGATTATGTTTATATACACGTGATCCTCCACACAGGGGCTGCCTTGTAGCAGTATATTTACTGTGGGTGGTCCCCTAGTGGTTAAGCTTCCACTGATTACTGAATACCAATATTATGAGTCCTGACCCTTACACTGTATAATTTATATTGTACATTACATAGTCCTGACCCCTGCACTATATACTCTATGTTGTACATTACATACTCCTGACCCCTGCACTATATACTCTATGTTGTACATTACATACTCCTGACCCCTGCACTATATACTCTATGTTGTACATTACATACTCCTGACCCCTGCACTATATACTCTATGTTGTACATTACATACTCCTGACCCCTGCACTATATACTCTATGTTGTACATTACATACTCCTGACCCCTGCACTATATACTCTATGTTGTACATTACATACTCCTGACCCCTGCACTATATACTCTATGTTGTACATTACATACTCCTGACTCCTGCACTATATATTCTATGTTGTACATTACATAGTCCTGACTTCTGCTCTCCCCCTCCCCCCACTGCTATATATACACATAATATGGATTCTCTTTTGTTCCCCCCATTTCCTCCCAGCTGGACATTTTATATCGGATGATGTGATTGGAGCACAGACTTTTACATGGTGATAATAATGTGATAACATCCTCCAACTTTGGACCCTTAAACAGAAAGTGATAATGAGGGAGGAGTCAATACCCCAATGATGGTGGTCTTCAGGATCAGTCCAGTCTTCATCTTGGTTGTTCTCCCCCCATCCTCACTCTCTGACCTCTGGTGGGGCTCAGCCCCGCTGTTCTTCATGACTAAATCATGGAGTAAATAAGGAAGTGCAGTACTTCTTGTGTTGGGAAGATGGCGATGAGTGATAGAGGGGGTGGGGACCCTCGTCCTATAATCCCCTCATCGCTGTCCCTCCTATAAAAGACAGTTCTGGTTGTTTCCTCACTCTCTGACTAAGGTCCATGAATAAAGAAATGACCTGGTAGGAGATCAGAGGAGCCATTTCCTAGTTCCCTTGAGGGTGGAATTGTAAGCTCCTCAGAGACCAAGCTGCCTGATGTGGTCGGAGTCCTGGTTTGGGGGAACCAATCAGCTCCTGTCTAGTAATCCTCTTTGTCTTTGTATTTTAGTCCATGGCCGGGAGATGAGGAAAACCTCCGAGGATTGTCTCACTTTGTGTCTCCAGACTGGAAAGTAGAAGATGAGGACATCACACAGTATAGTCCAGGAGAAAACCCGGCTCCCTCCAATGTCCATCCGGCACCACCCAGTGTAGATGGACCATCAGATTCCTCGTATCCTGAGGAACCTCAGACTGTGCGGGACCGGGCCGGGCTTCCAACAGAAAAGAGGTTCTCTTGTACTAAGTGTGGGAAGGATTTCCTTTCTAAATCCAAATTTAATAGGCATAAAAGAACTCACACAGGGGAAAAGCCGTATTCCTGTCCTGAGTGCGGGAAATGTTTCCAATCTAAGTACAATCTTAATGTGCATAAAAGATCTCACACAGGGGAGAAGCCGTATTCCTGTCCTGAGTGCGGGAAGGGTTTCCGGCGTAAACCAGAGCTTAATGTGCATAAAAGAACTCACACAGGGGAGAAGCCATATTCCTGTCCTGAGTGTGGGAAATGTTTCCAATCTAAAAATGGTCTTAATGTGCATAAAAGATCTCACACAGGGGAGAAGCCGTATTCCTGTCCTGAGTGCGGGAAACATTTTTCACAGAAGTCCCATTTTTACACACATCAGAGATCTCACACAGGGGATAAGCTGTATTCCTGTCCTGAGTGCGAGAAATGTTTTCCCCAGAAGTCTGATGTTTGCAGACATCAGAGATCTCACACAGGGGAGAAGCCATACTCCTGTCCTGAGTGCGGAAAATGTTTTTCAAAGAAGTCCCATCTTTACAGACATCAGAGATGTCACACAGGGGAGAAGCCGTATGCCTGTTCTGAGTGTGGGAAATGTTTTTTCAGACAAGTCTAGTCTTCTCCCACATCAGAGATCTCACACAGGGGAGAAGCCGTATTCCTGTCCAGAGTGCAAGAAATGTTTTTCACTGAAGTCCCGTCTTCTCACACATCAGATATCTCACACAGGGGAGAAGCCGTATTCCTGTTCTGAGTGTGGGAAATGTTTTTCACACAAGTCCGGTGTTCATAAACATCAGAGATCTCACACTGGGGAGAAGCCGTATTGCTGTTCTGAGTGTGGGAAATGTTTTTCATACAAGTCTAGTCTTCACACACATCAGAGATCTCATACTGGGGAGAAGCCGTATTCCTGTCCTGTGTGCGGGAAATGTTTTTCAAAGAAGTCCAATCTTCATAAACATCAGAGATCTCACACGGGGGAGATGCTGTATTCCTGTCCTTAGTGCGGGAAATGTTTTTTCACAGGCATCCCATCTTTACAGACATCAGAGATCTCACAAGGAGGAGAAGCCACTTTCCTGTGCTGAGTGAGGGAAATGTTCCTAACTAAAGTCCTGTCTTCCTGTACATCAGGGGTCCCACACACCCCCTGGAGGTGTATTAGTGCCTTGAGTGCGGGAAATGTCTTCTAGATGAATGTTGCTGGACATCTCATGTGGGGAAGAAGCACACCCTGATATTGTTGGATTTTAGACACACATAATACTTCTTTTAGTGTCTTGAGGCGATTATGAATAAAAGAGCCATTGAATAAAAAAAATGAAGTGTGATTTTATTCTATCACACAATGGTGTAAAATAACAATGTAAAAGTGTATCATGAACAGTTCCATGTAGATAAAACTACTGTAGAAATATCAAGCAAAAGTTTAAAGATAAAGTCACCATTTTTTCCATAGATGTCCAGCCATGTGCTGTCCTGTCCTTCATGCTCTCCTTGTCCTTCTCGAGACTTCATGAAGAAGCCGGAAGTAGACGGAAGTGACGATCTTGCAGCATGCACCTGTTGCAGCTTCTCAGACGTGTATGTGTGTGCAAGAGTGTCAGTGTTAGCGTCTCCCCGTGTCCGTTGTCTCATGGTCTTTTATGAGGCAAATTTACATCATAGTTAGTGATCTTAATACCTTCTATGGAAATTATTACTGCTTGGCAAAGCCATTTCATACAAGGAAGGAGATGCTATATATGATGTGTGATGGACAGGTACAGATGTGATGTACATAATACTATAAGATGATGATGTAACCTCAGCTATTCATATATAAATGATAATATAACCTAAGAACATATCAATGTATAATCACTAATCTATATATGTATCAATGTTAGAGACGTATACTAAATACACACAGATACTATAAAAATACATAATGTAATAACAAGTCACTTCTAATACCTCTGACATTTACAAGAGACTTCTGACCAGCTACACCGAAATATAGTCTTCAGCTGGTTAGCTGATCTCAGCCTAACTAAGTCATATCTTTCTGTCTCAGCGATTATACTGAAGAAATAAATAATATCATCAGTTTTAAGGCGACAATTCACACATTTTAATATTAATTATGATTAATCATAAAAACCAAATATTTTGCAAGCTTGCCATCAATATACCGTATTATTTTTATCGCTCCATAAGATGCACTTTTTTCCCCCAAAAAAAAGGGGGAAAATGTCAGTGCGTCTTATGGAGCGAATATAAAGTGGCCGGTCCGGTATTTCTGCCGCCACCATGTCAGAATACCGGGCCGGCCGCTCAGCTGTTCTCTCCTGCAGGGCCTTACCTGTTCCTCGCTCCAGCGCTGCACAGTCTTCCCGCGCTGGCTTCTGTGACAGCCGGGTGCCCCACTGCGCATGTGCTGTGCTTTGTGAATGATCCGGTGTCTTCTGGGACACATGACAGGTCCCAGAAGGCGCCGGGCCATTCACAAAGTGCAGCGCTTCTCGCACATGCGCAGTGGGCACCTGGCTGTCACAGAAGCCGGCCCGGGAAGAAGAGAGAAGGACAACTCCGCAGAAGTGGGAGCGGGTACCTGTCAAATTCAGGTACCCGCTCCTCCTCCCTCCCCAAAGGTCAGCAGTCTCTGGTCATTCCCTGCACTGTCTGCAGTCTCTGGTCATTCCCTGCACTGTCTGCAGTCTCTGGTCATCCCTGTACTGTGTCTGCAGTCTCTGGTCATCCCCTGCACTGTCTGCAGTCTCTGGTCATCCCCTGCACTGTCTGCAGTCTCTGGTCATCTCCTGCACTGTGTCCTCAGTCTCTGGTCATCTCCTGCACTGTGTCCGCAGTCTCTGGTCATCCCCAGCACCGTGGTCCGCAGTCTCTGGTCATCCCCTGCACCGTGTCCGCAGTCTCTGGTCATCCCCTGCACCGTGTCCGCAGTCTCTGAGTCATCTCCCCCCCCCCTTGCACCGTGTCCGCAGTCTCTTGTATCTCCTGCACCGTGTCCGCAGTCTCTGGTCATCTCCTGCACCATGTCCGCAGTCTCTGGTCATCTCCTGCACCGTGTCCGCATGTCTCTGGTCATCTCCTGCACGTGTCCGAAGTCTCTGTCATCTCCTGTACCGTGTCCGCAGTCTCTGTTCATCTCCTGCAACCCGGTCCGCATCTATGGTCATCTTCTTACCGTGTCCCGAATTCCCTCTGGTCCATCTCTGTACCGGTTGTCCGCAGCTCTGGTCATCCCCTGCACCGTGTCCGCAGTCCTCTGGTCATCTCCTGTCCTGTGTCCGCAGTCTCTGTTCATCTCCTGTACAATGTTCGCAGTCTCTTGGTCATCCCCTGCACTGTCCGCCAGTCTCTGGTCATCTCCTGTACTAAATGTCCGCAGTCCTCTGGTCATCTCCTGTACTGTGTCCGCAGTCTCTTGTCATCCCCCTGTACTGTTCTGCAGTCTCTGATCATCTCCAGTACTGTGTCAGCAGTCTCTGGTCATCTCCTGTACTATGTCCTGCAGTCTCTGGTCATCTCCTGCACTGGGTCCGCAGTCTCAGGTCATCCCCTTTACTGTGTCTGCTCCATTGGATCAAAATTTTTTTTTTTCTTGTTTTTCGCCTCTAAAACCTAGGTGCATCTATGGTCAGGTGCGTCCCTTATGGAGCGAAAAATACGGTAAGTGCCAAATTATAAATTTGATTATATTCTACAAGACCCCCTTATTATGATTAGTCCCATAATTAATTTTCAACCAATGCACCCTTCATTCAGGCCCACACACACAGCCTTGTACCAAAACGATTGTACATATTCTTCATAACAGGACCAACCAAAAATAACTTTCCTTCAAACTCTATACCTATCTTCAGTTTCTCTTTCTATAAAAATTCTTAATCATAATGCTATTATTTGAATGAGATGTTGAAAATAATATTTTTACAACAATAACAGTAATAATTAAATGATGTAATAATAAAATGCCAGAGTTTTTTCCAAAATTTTTATAATTTTTTTTAGATCCCGGAAAAATACTTTCCATACTAAA